GTGTGTATGTGTGTGTGTATATTTTAATGTATCATTTCCTCAGAGGACTCAATCACTTGAACTGCCTAGAAATATCTCTGCAGATTTTGCCAATGTAGGTCAAGCCTGAGCACCCACATGGCTCAGCCAAGTGGGCATTGAGCCCCCATCACTAACCAGGGCTCTCAACGTGCACCTGGCCAGGCCCAGAGAGTGGTCAAGTCAGGGATGTGCTTTTACTTCATTTTGGTGAAGTCAGAGGTGGTGGAGAAATGTCTATTGGGAAGAGCAGAGCACCTGAATCTGGCTCTCTAGAAGGATCTGTTCTATGGCTGAGGTCTGAACTTACTTGGTGTCAGACCCATACCAGAGCTGACATTAACTATCAGGAAAGTATGGTGTCACACCAGCCAAAGGCAGAGGCGTTAGAAAGATGGGAACCAGCCATGTGCTACCTGGAAAGCTTGTGTTTTCTTAAATCAGGTTTCAAAAACCAATTCCAAGGCACACACATTATGAAATGCAAGAATAAATTTTGGCCACTATTTTGGACTCTTACAAAGAACCTTACCTCTGAGCCCATCTTCCTTCCACTCCTTGACTTGCCATTGAAAAGTCCAAAGTGAAATGTACTGAAAATAGACATTAGATATAACTGATGCTCAAAGGTAAGATTTCTATCCTACAGATTCCCTCTCCTCCCCTCCCAAGGAGCTCCCCCAGGCAGTGCTGCTACCTATCTCAAATACGACGGTAAAAGAATAAAGAAAGCGTTTGACTCTCACACTGCACCTGTGTGGACTCTGTTTTGCCCCGGTCATTGTCCAGGCCATCTCCGCAGCCTGTAAAGGGCCGTTTCCTCAGCACCTGTATGCCCTGCTGTCCTGTCCCTGCGGCTGGTCCGCCTGGCAGGACCCACTGTTGTCTGGGCCTGAATCACCGAGGCTGTGCCATACAAGGAGGCCCTGGACTCCAGTACCTCTTCACGCTCAACTTTTGTGGACAAAACTCAATCTTTTTTTTAATGCTTTTCCTGTTTCTCAGGTGTCAATTAAGATTTGTCTTCAGAAAAAACTTGAGATTAACATCTGTTGCCAGCATTAGTAAAGAATAGTGCTAGTAGCTTCTGCAGCTGTTGTTTCTCTCCTGGCCCTAACAGTAACTCAGTGCTTACTATTTTCCTTATTTTTAAGGAGCCCCGGTGGTGTAGTGGTTAAGTGCTCGACTGCTAACCCAAAAGTCAGTGGTTCAAACCCACTAGCCACTCCACGGGAGGAAGATGTGTAGTCTGCTTCCGTAGAGATTGCAGCCTTGGAAACCCTATGGGGCTGTCCTGTCCTATAGGGTCCTTATGAGTTGGAATCAAGTCCACTGCAACAGTTTTTTGTTGTTGTTTTTTAAATACTAGTGCTTCAATCAGACTATCTCATTTAATCTTCCCAACAACCCTATGAAGTGGGTCATACTACACTCCCCCTTTTACAGAGAAGGAACTGAGGCTCGGGGAGGTGACGTGGTTTCTTGGGTTACACCGTCAGTGGTGAGACAAGATTCAGACCCAAGCTTTGAAAATGTTCTAATTTAGGATAGGCAGGGCCCTTCTTAATAACACACTGAATACAGTCAGATGAACAGCATACGTTCTAAGATGTCCCAAGTGCTTCTCTGTGTATTCAGCTATTTATAAGCCAGGTTTCTGTGCACCTACTCACAACTGATACTGTTTTGGAAAGAGTTTTAGTAAAATGTGATAAGGTCTTCAGATACCTGACTTACTATCTGCTATGTGAAGATGGAAAATGTTTTTTCTCTCTAAATAGCTCTTGAAAGAACAAATGCACAAAAAGAGTTTTTTTTAAAAAAAAAAAACTTCCTTTTTCTATGATCAGTGTTCATCAGCCCCCCATTCCTTCCAATTTTTAACAGTTTAAACTGAAGTAGACAAAAAGTAATAGCTGCTCCCATTTTTCTTTTAAAAAAAAAAAGATGTGTAAGGAAGTGGGATGCTGCATAAATCAGGTAACAATTCCAAGCATATAAATTTTTTCTCAGATAGTAAAACTGATCTCTTCTTGAAAAAGTAAGCATGTTAACTCATTCATACCTCAAGGAAGTCATATAATAATATGAATATGTGTACCATTTTTACATACATTATCTTTTCCAGTCTTAACGCGAAACCTATTGTCCTACTTTAGAAATGAAAAAACTGAAGCTCAGGTTGAGGGCTTGCCCATAGCCCACATTGCTGTCACAGTCACTTCCAAAAATGCAGATCTGGTCAAGTTGCCCATTCTTCCCCAAATCCAAATCCTGCAGGACATACACGCAGGGGCGATAAGGCCCTAGTGACCTGGTACCCACTACCTCTCCAGCCTTCTCTCCAGTGGCAGCCCCACCCACCCCCCCCTTACCCACGCACCCTAGCTGCCATACCAAGCCACCTGCAATTTCCGTCACGCCCCATACTCTACCTAGATTTCCCTTCCCTACCTCATTTACCTGGAGAATGCCTCCTTTAAGATTCAGCTCCAGCATCCCTTGTCTGAATCCTTTCTCAACAAACCCACCCCAAAGGTAGACCTGACTTCTTCCTCCCTGCCAACACTATGCACCAAGTGCTCTGGGTAATACACAAGGAAACTACTGCATTTGGTGATTTTACAGATTCATTGGGAAGCCTACAAATTACTGAATTAAGAAGAGATAAAAGTTAATTTGGCTGATTAGTCACCAACTATAAAAGAACTGAAGGGTGAGAGAAGCCAAGCAGGAAAAATGAAGGAATTCCTATTGCTAATGGTGGTTAAAAGAAAAATCAACATGAATGGAAGACTGAAAAAAATCAGACAGTAAAGCAGTTTCATTCTATTTACTGAAATAATGCCCTAAGTTGGGAAAAGCTTTAGAAATTTTTTCTAAACGGCAGCGTAATGGGGTATCTTTTTTCTTACTGTTATACTCAGCAGTTTTAGAAGTACAGGCAAATATTTCAGTCTTTTTAAGAAAGAATTTCACTGTACAATAGTTCCATTCTCCTGGGAAACATTCCTTAATGGCATGGCATCATCTTTATTTTATAATACACAAAGCAGATGCTGGAAATCTTTTGCTCCACTCGTCCATCCTTCTTCCTCTCCTCCTAGAGACCCTTGTTCAAACAAGTGTGTAGCATGTCCAGGTTACACCAGGTGGGCCCAAGTCCAGAGGAAAACCGGCTTAAGAAAATCAACTTTAATTCTCCAGACGCAGACTCTCTGGTTTTTCCAGTTTTTCAGTGAACGAGCCCTGCATGCCATAGCCAGAGTTGTAGCCAGCCTCGCTCTAAGGATGCATTAGCCCTGAGTTTGCAAAGCGGGGGTCACCATGCAATGTGGGTGGGAGCCGGCGGCCAGGGCTGAGATTCCTTCCAAAAATCCATTCAGACATATCGTTAAATGGGCTTAACCAAAGGCTCGCAATTGAGTCCCCCTGGCCGGGGATGGAGAATTGTCCTTTGGCCACTTTCCGACATTTGGTGCCAAAGCTCGCTGTATTCTTTAATCACCACTCATTGCCCGTGACCCACTAAGTGACCCACTAAATCATGCCTGGAAGCTGTGGGACATTATAAGATTCTTAATTCTTATGCCATGGAGCAAAGGAGTTAGACACAATGGGAACTCTATAATCATAGCACTTACTGTCGGTTAGGAACTTGACATACATTCTCTCCAACCCCTACATGAGGAAACTGAAGATCTGACGGGTTAAATAATTTTCCCAAGAGCTGGGATTTGAACTCACAGCCACCTAGCTTCCACTCCACCGTGCTGTCTCCTGTGATCTCACAATGGCCTCCTTATTGACAGCCTGGGCTTTTTCCACTGTAATCTATTCTTCTTGGCCACAAGAATCAGTTGAGCCACACCTCTCTTTCTAACAGAACTAGGGAGATAATGTGGGAATCCTCATTTGTACACTTTAGATAAAAATACAAGACCAACCCCTTCATTGTGGACGAGCAAAGTCAGTCTGCATTCCAATGCCATGGATGTCGAAAGAGGTGTAGTTTGGAGAATCCACCCTAGATTCTAGAGTAGATGGACGTCTCACAGAGTTCCCCAGTATCATTAGTGTTGAGGAGCAAGGATCATGGGCTTTGGAGCCAGATAGGCTTAGGTTTGATCCTGCTCTCTACTTCCTAGTTGTGGGACATATTCAAACAAGTGGCAAGTAGCTCACTCCCTCATCTCTCTCCTTTTCCCACCAGGCCTCCAGTCCACATAGGACAAGTCCTGGCATTGTTTGTCCTGATATCATTAGGGTGACTTTACACTGACAATTAGGAGAAGGGTGACATGGGAAAAAGGAGCCCTGGTGGTGCAGTGGTTAAGTGCTTGGCTGCTAACCAAAAGGTCAGTGGGTTGAACCCACCAGCCGCTCTGTGGGAGAAAGATGTGGCAGTCTGCTTCCATAAAGATTACAGCCTTGGAAACTCTGTGGGGTAGTTCTACTCTGTCATATAGGATTACTATGAGTTGGAATCAACTTGATGGCAACAGGTTTGGTTTTGACATGGGAAAAAAACTAAAATTCTGATAACTCTGCTCCCTTAGGCCAGTAAATGCTAAAAAATTAACCTGTACTTATGTCTGTGTTATACCTTCCATCAGATACCAGAGTTGAGGTTTCTATCCATCTGTATTAATTACAGATTTGCCTGCTGAACTGAAGACCTCAAATAATAGCAACCTGAATAAAACAGAGGTGTCTTTCCCTCTCACCTACGTGTTCAGAGCAGGCTAGGAAGCCACACTACTACTACCTTGTTGCTCTGCCATCCTGAAGCTCTCACCCTCACCTGCA